GCTATCACTACCAACTGCTTTGAAAGAGATAATATTAAAAAGTCTTAAATAAAGTTGGGGAAAATACAGGACAAAATGCACAATCATTTTTTAAAAGACCAGGTTTACTTATCTGATAGAGATGGCTGGAACTCCCAAAACTGAGGCCCTTCAATACCCTTCAAGTTTGAAATTTAACTTTCCCATGTGGCCCAACCTTAATCTAAACAATAGACAAGCCTATAAGGAGAACAATAACCAGAGAAGTATGCACTTACTAGAACAATCAAACATACTAAATCAAGATGATAGAATTTGCTCAGGTATAAAGTTCAGTAGGCAGGAAAGAGTAGAAAGGGTAACTAAGGAAGGGAGTGGAAAGAATGCTATTATACTAAGGGAATTGCAACCAATGTCACAAAATAAAATATGCATGAATTGTTAAATGGAGAACCAATATGCTTTGTAAAATTTCACTCTAATCACAATAATAATATTTTTGAAGTTTGAAACAAAATAGATTGCAGCTAAGAGAACCATATGGTACAATTCTACCTTGTTAATACTCAAGTGGTCACCATGAAGCTGCATCTACTCTACAGAAAATAAACATAACAACAACTAAATGTGGCTGAAGAAACAAGTTGAAAGAGTTCTCAGAAATATTTTTCTCAATAAATCCACTGGGTTTTTTTCAATATGTCTTAACTCATTGCCTCTAAAGAGGATAAGGAGCCCTGGTAACATAGTGGTTATGCATTGGGCTGCTAACCACAGGCCCAGCAGTTTGTAAACACCAGACACTCTGAAGGACTGTAAAGAGAGCTACAGTCTCAATAACCCACAAGGGCAGTTCTACCCTGTCTGGTAGGATCACTCTGAGTCCGATTCAACTTGCTAGCAGTGAGTTTGGGTTTTGTCTTTTTAATAAAGAATGAGAAAATAATGATTTTACTTGAGTCTATTCACGCAACTTATGGAAACGTTTTCCCGGTAAAACAGTACTTCCTTTTTATTTTCCTTAGTTATATGGATTTCACATATTAAGTTAAAAAGTGAGCCTTCCGGTGTTAAAAAGTGAGCCTTTTTTCCTTAACGGAATGAGAATTACTTTCTTTGGAAGATAAACAAGTAAAAGGAGAACTGTGTAAATGTGCCGGGAAAGGAATTTTAATTAACGTAGGATTATGAAATTTATAATAACAGGACTGAATAGATTCCTTCCTATATCATTTGCTTTTTTCACATAACAAACATTTCTTTGTTACATAGAACTGTTTCTGAGTGATGAGGAGCTTAAGCGGCTGCATGAGTTTGAAGAGCAGTGTGTTCAGGAGCATTTCCAGGAGAAAGAAGATGAGCAGCAGTCATCCAGCGAAGAACGCATCCGTGTCACGTGTGAGAGGTGAGCACAGGGTATCCTCACCCCAGGGCCAGTAGAACCATGGGATTGGGTACCCTTGCATCAAATCTATGGCAAGTGCCAAACCACATTAGAAGGATTACTCTGAATTCACATGTTTATTCAAATTTGGAGTTTAAACATGGTTTTTGCCCAAAATAGGGTACAAATTCCTAGGTCATCACTGTTTATCTCATAGGTTCCCAAACTTAATTGGCCTTACTACCCCCTTTTCAGAAAAAAAAAAAATCACTCAGCACATCCCTGGCAATTAAAAACACTTCTACTCTGGCCCAAAATCAAGGATAAAGTGTAGTTATCTGCTTTTGCAACCTCCCACCCCTGGGTCTTTCCTAAGGTGTTATCACCCACTTTGAGAAACACTGGTTTATTTTAAAGAAGTGAATGGTAGATTTTTTTGGTGAACACGGAACAAAAACATAAACGGACAGTTCTTACTCACTCTGCATCCCATCCAAATATGACTTGGTTTATTATAGTAGTCTACCTTAATAGAACAGTCACCTAAAGGGATATGTAATTGCTCAGAAAAACCACCTTTCTCCTCTACCCTTTTCCAGAGAATGATCCTACCCTCCTGACTTACACTCTCATCACACTTCATGTCTAAGGTGACCAGATTTAAAGCGGGACACCATTGACTGGTGGGGGGAGGTTCTTGATTTAAAATTTGGTCTATATGGACCAAATAGACCTTTCATTAGCTTGTCATGCATTCTTTTCAAAAATCGGGACTTTTTAAAAACGCCAAAAATCGGGACTGTCCTGCAAAAAGTGGGACATCTCGTCCCCTTATTCATGTCTTCTGCCACGCAGGGAGGTATTCCCCAACCTCACCAAGCAGGGCTAAGAGTCTCCTCCTTTGTGTGTTCAAGAGACTTGGTACCTGGTGCTGAGGACCACATCTGTCCCCATGAGGGTTTAATGACCCTAAAGTAGGACAGAGTCTCAGTTTCAGAAACATTTGCATCCTCAGAACCAGGCAAAATCAGCACCATCTACAATAACAACAACAAAAACAACTATATATGTTGTCATTGGGGTAATTTCAACTCATAGGAACTCTAGGTGTTACAGAGTATAACTACTCTTCATTTTTCTTGGTGGTAACCTTTCTTGGTTGAAAGGAAAAAAGGCTAGAAAGATGTTTACTTGAGTTTCATTGACTATGCAAAGGCATTCCACTGTGTAGATCATAACAAACTATGACCAGCCTTGAGAACAATGGGAATTCTAGAACACTTCTCTGTGCTCAAGCAGATGGATCAAGAGGCTGTTGTGAGAACAGAACAAAAGACTACTGTATGGTTTAAAATCAGGAAAGGTAGGCATCAGAGTTGCATTTGATCACCATATTTATTCAATTTTTATGCTGAGGAAATCATCAGAAAAGCTGGATTATATGGTAACAACACAACCTTGTCACCTTCAAAGTATTCTCCCTTATACTTAATACATTTGCCAAATCTGTGATTCCATTCTTGGAAACAATTTTCAAACTCCTCTGCTTGGATGGCTATAGCACCTCCCTCACTTTTTTCTTCAGCTCTTCTATGCCATCAAATCGCTTTCATGTTCCTCTTCATTTGCAGAAACAAAATGCAGTCGCACAGAGTGAGGTTAGGTGAGTAAATTGCATGGGGCAAGAGAGGCATGCTGTTTTTTGCCCAA